TGAGAAGCAAGAATGAATTTGTGTGATTTAACCTCCGTGTCATCTTTGTCCCTGATAATAAAGTCATAAAACTGCTCTTCTTTCTCTTTGTTGTGATGGGCTTCTATGTTATCACAGAAGTTCATGTGACGAGTTTCTGCCATTCTTGGTTAGAAGGATTTACCCTGAAGCTGAAAAAAAAACAACAACACCTAGCACTCGATCAACTCCAATTTAAATGAGGCCAGTCCTTAGTTTAATACTTGACAGTAAAAGTCTTTCTGGACACTTCAACGTAACAAAGTACATTGTCCCAGCTGGGGCCAGTTTGTTTGCTAAGGGTCAATTACTATAGCAACAGCTTGTAAAAATTAAACAAGGCAAATTACAACTCACCGCACAAGAAAGAAAAATTGCTTTGAGTCACTCTGAAATACTGAACTGGAACGAATCAAAAACTTTGTAGATTCTGAAGACAAGTCTTTGTGGTAAGGATTACCTATTAGGAAGTTCTTTGGGCAGTAGACGTATATACCTCCTTGTTGTATGAAGAATATTGCACAAAGGCTTCCCTCACCTTCTTTATAAAACTGGCAATCACTATATTTAGCAAATGGAAACAGTGTGTGCTGCTGTCAGTATATTACAAAAATAGCATCATAAAATTTGTGAGTATCGTGAGATAGTTCGCGGATTGTGTGAAACGATCACAACTAAAAACAGAAAAAAAACGATTTTGCATCTGTGACTTTCACTTTCTAGCGAGGAGTCGCATAACAACTTCAGAATAAGACCGGCCACAATATAACCTTATTCTGTCAGGGCTTGTTGTTAGTGTCGCCAATTCCTTCCCCTCTAATCACCCACCGCTACACCTTCCTCTTCATAATTTCAGGAATATAGAAGCCTTGATAGAGAAAGTTTGAAAGTTAGTTAGTTGGAAAGTTATCTGAAAATCGAGACATCTCACCAGTCTTAAGGACATCGTACGTCGATTGGCTGCTCAGGTGGCTGCCATCTTGGACTCCACCGTCATATTTGTTTTTATTTTTTTTTCAGCTCGAAAATAGGTAAAATGCGGGCAAAAAAATCTGAGTAAAAATAGGCATTAAGAGAGTAGAAGTGTCAGGATGACGCCCTACGTTGTAAAATTAACGTGATGACCCAAAATAGCCCCCATCTTGGATTATTCTAGTCAGGCCGCATCTCGAAACAATGCATTTTGTGACGGCATGACTCACACAGCCACAACATGGACTCAAAGTAGACTAAGAATAAATGTTGTGACTGTTCGATCGCAGAATAAACGTCAAGTAAACTCTTGGCGATTCAAGACTTAACAGCTCCGTTTGCTTGTATGTTTGAACGCCTCAGTTTTAAAAATAGTTAACCGGAGGAATTAATACACTACTTCAGAAAGCTAAATTTAACTACATTAGATAATAGAAGGCTACCAGTTATTGTGTGTTTTCACATGACGTCATGGCGACCATATTTGTGTCCCAAAACAATGAAACGGCGGCCATGTTTGTGTCCCAAACACGTCCTGTGGAAGTTGAACTCTTTTCTTAAGTGAACGCTTTCTTATGTTCCAAAAAATTTGCATAATTATCTTAATGTATAAAGTGAAAAATGGATCAACGCCGAAGTACATTACGGATCTATTCCAGGTTAACTGTGATAGGTATAGAAGATATAACTTAAGTAACCCCGATTTCGCACTGCCTGGTTACAATACAGTTACAAATGTGGAACACTCCATCAGATACTTGGGGCCGTTGCTTTGGGCGAAACTAACTAAAAAGGAAAGGATTATCAAGTTTCTGTCAACTTTCAGAACTATGATACGCGAAAAGAACATATCAGCTGTTGTAGAGGAATGTGGGAGAGATTGTAACTTATGTTCAGCTTAGTCCTACTGTACCGCCATAAACAGTTTCTTAATTTCTACTTGTATAATGTACGCAGTTTTAGTTGGTAGCATATTTTACTGAATAGCTAGTCCTGTTTTTCCGGACGGAATATTCCAAACGGAAATTCTTGTTCCATTTCTTCAAGCCATCTTTGATATCGGGTTCAGGCCTTCGCGGTCATTTTTGGAACTGATTTGTACAAATGGTAAACGCAATTCTGGGACAAAATTTACCAGTCCAGAATTTTGCGTACCATTTGCCCAGACCGTGGACTGACCGGTTTGCCCATGTAAATGGTAAACAACCTTTCTTAATTATCTAAACCTCAATGGAATTATATTACCAATTATAAATATGAAAGAAAAAGCGAAATTATTTCTAGTAAAAAGACGTCTTCTACAAATGGCCTATAGCGATCGTCGCTACTTCTTTTTCTTCGGAAAACCCACACAGGTTCTCAATATTTTATTGGTTCAGTATTTTATCTGTTACATTTGTCGTCCTTTTTGTAATTTAGGAACGATAATTGCGAATTCTCAGTAAGAATGGTGGAAAAGCTGCTGAAAGTGCGTGCAAGCGCTTAGGGTGGGGGGGGGGGGGCTCCCTTATAAAAACCGGGTAGGGGTATGTGTTGCCCCAAAAGGAGGGGTTTTTGGGCGGTTTTGGTCTGAAAAGGGGTACAAATTTTGCCTATTTTGGTCTGGAATCGAGTATGGAATCGGGTATGGGAACTACGGTTGTGCATGAACGTGTTCGTCGTTTCAATTCCAAATGAATAAGAAAGCAAGTGTAATATGCGAATTCAAAATGGATTTTAAGGAATCTTTTTTTTTGGCGTTCTTATCTCAGCAATGATGACAGCATGTAATATTCCGTTTGATGACCTCCTCCAGGGAGGGATGTGGAAAATGACATTTTATGGTCTGAAATAAGGTCAGAATTTGGAGAACCGTGCGGCAAATCCCCATCAAGGAGTACCTCCACCCCGGGCTTAGAGGAATTACCTATAATGCAATTTGCTTATTCCCTCGTATTACGTCACTGTAATACTATAGATGGTTTTCACAGTGACGTCATCAAATTGTAAAGTCAAAATAGCGAGGTTTTACGAATTCTTGTTTACACTAGGCTGAAGATAAACAAAAAGTTAATCTTTCTACAAGTTTTCAGTCCCATAGCATGTTTCATTTCGAAAATACAGCAATTTGAACTTCCGAGTTTTCAGAGTGCGTGACACCAAAATAGGAGTGCTGTCTCGTTGAAAAAAAGTCTCTCCTCTTGATTTTCAGTAGTATAACCATTCCAAGTATTAGAAGATATGTTTATGCGCACGTAGGCTAGTTCTCGAGTGAAAAGAAGGAGCTTTTATAGAACAAGTGAACTCCAGATGTTTTTGTTGATTTTCGACGGCCATATTGGTGCACCAAAACTGTACACCAATATGGCGTCTCCATACAAAGCTCTACAAAAGTGCGTGAAACGTTTCGGCAAATAACTCAGAAACTGTGGGCCAAAAAGACCTGAGACTTGGACAAATTGTTTAAAAATTAGTCTTTTATAACATATCATTTTCTTGGCTTCTTTCACTGGACGGTTTTTAGTTTATTTTTTTGTTGCGTGACAGTGAAAACGATCTATAGGTGACGAATTACTTCTTAATTTTGGCGCGAAATTTCAGCAATAATTTGAAATTACAAAATTGTCATGGCAACCTAAAGCTTTCGTACGTCTCAGTGTCAAGATGGCGGTGAAGTTTTAAAATGTCATGAATGAAGATGCCAGGGCATAATAAACGCTTCAGAAAACCTGAACACAAGCAAGAGCATATCACGAAGGATTCTAACAGATATTTTGTCGAAAAACTCTGAACTTAAGCAAAATTTAAGCCTTAAACGTTCGAGGGAGTGGAGTTCTCGATCGATACCAGCCGTAAACATGTCAAAAATCCTAGATTGGTAACGTAATTCGTCACCCATGACATTAATAGGTGATCAAATGATATACTCGTGAAATTAGGGAATAATTTCACTTGCGTTTTGTCTCGTTTTGGGCTCGGGAAATTATAAGGATTTGGACAGAACGCGCGGGAAATTATTCCCTAATTTCACTCGTCACCATTTAATTACACAATTACGCAGGAGAAATTACTGGTGCAAAATTTTGAGACCATAATTATCAAGTTCAAATAATCCTTTTTACATATTTATATTTATTACAGTACAGTATTACTTTAAAACTATGATAACTAATGACAAGTAAAAAACATCGTATCTATAATAAATAAACAATTAAGCCACTATTCAAACATTTAAAGTCAGTAAAGAAATTTCAACTCAAGCATTAACGGCATTCCCTCCCACACCCTCCAATGATAGTTGTTAAGTTAAATCCTTTTTAAGTGTCATTAACCAGTATCTTAACGCTCTAATGTTTCAATCTTTTGCTCTTCCTTGCTCAATTTCGACCACAGTACAAGTTGCGGTCGAACAAGTCTAAGGAAATGTTTTCCGTACAAGACAATGTTAAAACGAGGTAAAACAAAATCAGCATTTCTTCCTCTAATACTAATATTTGCCGCTATTTAGCTATTGTAGTATATTGCCACTTTATTTTTTACTTAAACATCAAAATGAGTCAACCTCGAGTATTCTATAAAGGCATGTTCACCAGTTGCGTTTCACACACATTACACAAAATTCATGATGAATCATGAAGAGTATTTTTTCTGATATCCATACGCCTTTATACTGTTAATAGGAGCCAATTTAAAATACAAAATGGTTAAAACACATTCACTCTACGTTTTTTATAAATTGCTTCATACATAACCAATGATTTAATTTGAAGTACTCTCGCTATGTCATTGTTTACATCTTTGCTCATTAGCATACAAGCTACCCAGTATAAAAAATTCGCCGTACATACAAATTGGGTTCAAAAAGTTGAAAGAGATGGTTAATTTGAGTAGTTTGTGCAGTTTGTAGCTCTCTACAATCAACAACAAAGGACTGAAATATAGGCAATCAAAAACTGAATAAATAAATTTAATTTAATTAATTAACCAGGCAACTTTGTCCCTGATTCTAGTCCAACGCTGACTTCGCTAAATCATTTCTTTTCGTTTAAAAATGGTTCCTTATGATTCAGCAAGTCACCGCCATTAATTTTCAGACCGTTTATCTGAAGAAACTGTTTCTCTAAAATCTGTAAAGTGATATACTGCGCTAATGTAGGCCTATCAAAAACGATGGTATATCCCTCGCTAACAAATCCTCTTGCTGGTCCTTCAAAGTGTCCACATGGAGTGTTGACCTCGAGTTTTTTGTTACTCTGGAGTCCTCTGTAAACTGCTGTGAACCCTTCAGGTACAGGCGTCATACCAGCTCTGACTTCTACGTTCCTTAGTCTGTCCCAACAGGAATCTTTGCGGTTGATAATTGTCACAGACGAAATCAAGACCGGAAAGGGGAATTTGACTTCCAGCCATGGATGCATCTCGAGTTCGGAGTGAAAGAAAAAGTGGTTTTTATTGGAGACTTCACCATCAATCGCGAATTTCGGTCCAAATTGATTGACATTGGAGTATACTGAAGACCCTCTAGCTTCGAAGCCCACTGCATCGTTCGTCGCTGTCATCCACTCCTTTATCACATTGAAGTTCCATTGCCTCTGTGTCATAATCGTGACTTGTTCTTGCTGCAAACGGACAGCGTCATTTATCATGTCCTTGGAGAAGGTATCCAGACTATTGATATTTTGAGGCCCAAGGTTTTTTGCAGAGAACAAAACGCCTGCTTCAATTAGCTCTTTTATTTCCAGTTTGTAGCCAAGCCCAATCACGTGGTCATAATTCGACTGATCGATGTGCTTGATGATGTAATCTACGCAAATGCCGCGCACATCCGTCAGATTGATGTAGTCGGCAAACATCAGCACATTTTCAACATTATTTTCCGTGAGGTTCACTTTTTGAGTATACAAATATTCAATGCAAATCTTAATCTCATCATTTGAATAATTAACAAATTTAGTTTCACCGCAATTTGAAAGGAAGCGGAATAAACCTGCGAAGTAATCACATTGAGAAGTAAGAATAAATTTGTGTGATTTAAGCTCCATGTCATCTTTGTCCCGGATGGTAAAGTCATAAAATTGCTCTTCTTTCTTTTTCTTGTGATAAGCTTCTATGTTGTTACAGAAGTTCGTGTGACGAGTTCTTCCTGCTGCCATTCTTGTTTAGAAGGACTTACCCTGAAGCTGAAAAAACACCACCAGGCACTCGATCAATTAATTCCGATTTAAATGAGGCCAGTCCTAAGTTTAAAACTTGATAGTAAAAGTCCTTTTGGACACTTCAACTAACCCAGCTGAGGCAAATTTGTTTGCTCAGAAACAATTACCATAGAAACAGCTTGTAAAAATTAAACAAGGGAAATTACAACTCACCGCACAAGAGAGAAAAATTGCTTTGAGTCACTCTGAAATACTGAACTGAAACGATTAAAAAACTTTAATTATAGATTCTGAAGACAAGCCTTTGTGGTATGGATTACCTAAAGTATTTGGAAATTCTTTGAGCAGTAGACCTGTATACCTCCTTATTATATGAAGAATAAAGCACAACGGCTTCCATCACCTTCTTTAATTTACAAAGCTGACAACCACTATTTTGAGCAAATGGAATCAGTATGTTGCTACTGTCAGTAATTACAAAAATAGCATCATAAAATTTGTGAGTATCATGAAATAGTTCGCGGATTGTTTGAAACGATCACATCTAAATACAGAAAAAAAACGATTTTGCATATGTGACTTTCACTTTCTAGTGATGAGTCGCATAACAAAGAAAAAGACGGCATAAAAAAGAAAATGACGGCTACAATTTTAACCTTATTCTGTCAGTATTTGTTATTGTCGCCTATTCTTTTCCCTCACCTCACCCTGGTGCTAAGGTAACACGAAGTCAGTTTCTTAATATGTATACGTTTCGCAATCGTCATTCCCGTTTATTCTATATCCGTTTAGTTGCTTTCAACTGCGTTTCACATACATTACACATAAAGTAGCTAACACCAGGAGTATATTCTTTCTGATATCCAGATACCTATATAGAACTGAGGAATAAAAGAAGGATCAAACATATTTAAGCCACTATATTTTAAGGTCAATACTTCTTTAAGTTTAAGTATTCCCGAAACGTGCATGCTATTTGATTCGAACGAGAAAATTCCAATAAAAGCAATAATCTACAGGTTTGAAAAAACATTTCATGTAAACATTGAAATATATTTCTTCTAAAATTGAACTAATCGCGATGAAGTTTGAAAGAACGGTATTTGGCTCTGGGTGTCCTTGCCTGTGGTAAGCGAATTAGGACTGGTCGATAGCTCGAGAACACGTGATGTAAATAAGCGTTGGAGAGATCATGGAGTGTAATCGGATCATTCATTCATTTTCTGGTTCGGATCGGTTTTGTGTCATCGGCATATCTCGGAAAGGACCTCAAGTTATCAGGAGTCTTGTAGGGAAAAATTATCTAAAAGTCGGAATGAAGAGTATGTTCATTTTCAACACTGCCTAATGGAACATGTTAATGACTATCTTACATTACCAGATTGCATTATTTTCCGCGTAAATAGGGATCTTGCATTTTGAGCTACGCAAGACAACCGGAGGTGATACCTTGACGCTGACAAAGTGTATCGCTAAGTGTCTTTATAGAGAAGATTTGTCCGGAAATCTGGATAAAATTACTGGCCAGGAATGCAAAAAGGCCACTTCCGGTTACCGTCCGTTCCTCAAAAACGCCTTTGCTTACAGGCGACGTCAAAATGTACGTAGTAAGTCAGAAACAAAAATGTGACAAGCGTAAGACGTAGGCGAGTGTGTCTTCAATGTTTTGACCACACTTTGATGTCTTGTTTGTAAATATTTGCATAATATGTCACAAACAAACTTCATTTCAGTTTTTTAAATAAAATGTTTGTATGAGAGGATGTTTACTTAGCTCTTTTTACTTTCCAAAAAAAGCGAAACAGTTTAAATTTTTGTTCTTTTTTCGTCCTTAATATTGGCGAATTTACTCTTTTCCAAAGAAACATTTTGCTAACATTGTTTTATCCTATTCCGGAATGACTCTTTTTGGACTATTCGTTGTCGGTTCCTTATCTCGACACAAAAAATGTACACATTAAGGTATTTATATTGGACATTTTTAAAATCGGTCTTCACTATTCGGCGTCCAGTTTTGAATTTGTTATAATAATAGTTTTTGTTTCTTGGAATGCAGGGAAAGTCCCAGACTTTTCCACATCGGCTAAAGGAACGAAAGGGCGGCTGACTTCGAAGTAAGTAGTTGGTTTTTAAAAAATAAACTCATCTTAGCTAGCTTACCTTTTTCTATTTCATATATCTTACTTGAGATCTTAATTTCGCACAAAGTTTCCTGAATTGCGATTGTGCGTAACAGACTCAGAAAACTCGACCTCGATTAGTAGGGATCGTTTGTCGTGTGATTTCAAAAGTTCGAAGCAACTCTAAAGAGCTCATACAATCAAATAGTTTTGCCTTTACGAAGTGGATTCCCTTATATAGAAAAGCTTATAAATATTCCCAGTTGATACAGCCATGTAACGCCGGGCTTACGTCTATTGCATGCATGTTCATTGAACTGCGTATTCCTTTCTTTTTATTTTGGTATCGTTATCGTACGTCAGGCTCTGATTTCTGATCTTAAAACGCGGAGAATCCTAGAGCTTTATTGTACTTCACTGCTCTTAGAGATAGATTTTCTGGTAAGCTCTTGGTATTGTAACATAATATTATGTCACAAACATGAATCGTTTCCGTTTTTTTCTCTTATGTTTGTATTGGAGCATATTAGTCCTCTTCACTTTCTTGGAAAGCAAAACATTCCCAAATGTCGTTCCTTTTTGCAGGGTTAATTTCAGAGCGTAAGTGTTATATTACATCTTGGCACAGCTATATTCATTTGCTGGGTTCGTTAACCTTGCACAGCAAAACAGCCGTTGAGGTTTTCATAGCAAGTCAGGCGCCACAAACTTCCTCGAAGGAAGGTGAGTAGTTTGGCTTCTTCTTAATACCAAGAAAAATTCCCTGAATATTCCCCGCAATTTCTATTTTCATGCGCGCGCTCGACGATCTTAAAAGAGAAAATAGAGGATATGGGAACAGGCTAGCCTTTCTCAAGTTTAAAAGATTTCTAGGCAATATATTTGCTCC